TTAAAGGTGGTCTTTATTTTAAAAACAGAACCCCTTAATCTTATTATCATGGTGGAACACTCAAAACTGAGAAAATTAGGCCAATTATTATATAAGCCAAGTAAACAGTAAATTAGTTACCATTGATTTAAATTACACAAAAAGCCCATCATTATACTAAAGAGTTAAAACATAATAAATGAAATAATTGCCTCAATTAAGACTCCCCTTTCTTTAGAAATAAAGGCAATTTAATAGAAAGTGAAAAGTAATAAAGCTAAATTATTAATTCATTCTTTTTACTTTCATATTGTTGTCAGCATACAGATTATACAATTTTATAGTTGATACTTAAAAATTTATCTAGAATTTTATTTTTATGTCACTATCCATTAAAGTCCTATAAAGGACAAAATCCATTTGTCATTTTGTCATCATATCAAGATTAAGTGGGTAAAGGTTGAATTGCTTGGGCATTCTATATATAAACATTTGTTTCCTTTTTTATTTGTTTTGGTTTTCCTTGGGTGTTTCTTCTTTGGAAATATGCCTAAACTAGAATAACAAAGGTCAAAAATATAAATTATTATAATAATTGATCACATGTTTTTCAGAGGGATAGACAATTGTAAAAACTACACATAATGTATGATCACCACTTTCACAGCACACCCACTAACATATTCATTATTTCACATTTGCCCTTATTTTGATGGGACTATATAGTGCCTAAAGTTGTTTGAATTTTAATCTATTGTAAGGCTGAACATTATTCCTTGTGATGACTGTTCTATTTTTTAAAATATATAAATACCACTTATTGAAAGACAACAAGTGATCGTTTGTATGTATCAATTATATCTAGTAAGAGTACTTCCCCAGGTGAGTTTATTCACTCTCAGTTCTATAAATACTGTTTTTAAGTTTATGATTCTCCAGTTCATATATTAATTCTGGGCAACTCTAGTCTTACACATTCAACCACCTATTTTATTTCTCCAAATTGAATCCCTGATCTGAAACTCTTCATCCTAGAATTCTTCACGCTTCAGTAAATGGCAACTCAAATCCTTCCAGTTCATGAGGCCCAAAATCTGTGTCATTCTTTCTCTTTTATTTTTTCACACCATCATTCCTTACACTCCATTGATCCTTTCTCCCTACTGCACCTTTTAACCTCAGAAGCCTTACTTTGTCTATTAGTGTTTACCAGTTTTTATAAGCATTTTGCTTTGTCAAATCATCTATTATGTAAATGTCCAGTATTTGTCTTTCATGTCCTTTGGGTAAATACCCAATAGGGATATTGCTGGGTATTTCCATTTTTAATTTTTTAAGGAAAAACAATTTATTTTCCAAAAACAGCTCCATCAGTTTACATTGCTGCAGTATAATAGGGCTCCTCTTTCTCCACATCCTCTTCAGCACTTGTTTTTGGAGAGTCTAACTACTACGTATCATTCTCACAAGTGTTAGATGATAGTTCATTGTGGTTTTGACATGCATGTTTCCATACTTTCAAATATTAACTGTAATCACAAATGTATTTGTGCGGCAGATGTATAAAATGTATAAAATACATGCGGCAGATGTACTTTATGGAAAGCTGAAGTAGTGAGAAGCGTGTGAAATAATATAAAAGTACCCATAATCTCAATACATGTTTCCCTTTAAACAGCTGTTAGATATGTTATAAAGTGAATTTCCTTTTCTCACCTCTCCATTTATCTCCTATTTCCACTAAAGTAATCACTGCTAGGCATTTGTTGTATATCATTCCAGGATTTTCCTATTACTTTTTTTAAAACTGGAATCATACTGATCATTGTCTAATGCAACAAGCTGTTTTCCCTGAATACCATATTACAGACATCTTTCCAAGAGACACAGTTACCTCATTTTTTCAATAGCAGTGTTTTATTACTTGTGTGTATATCTTATGAAACCAGATCAAAGAGGAGTGAAGGTTTCCCAATTGATATCTGAGGTATATATTTGTTTCTTTTTTTACTAATATTAGTTATGATTTCATAGATACCACCAATCCCCTTAACTCCTTGATCTTCCAACACAATTATTCAATCTCCCCTCAGCTCTGCCTCAACCCACCACCCAATTCGCATTTTGTGCAAATTTGCAAAATTTAACAGCTATCTCCTAATAGCTAATCTACTAACAGCAACAATACCACCACCACTACCTACAGGCTAAATCAAAATCCAATTCTTCACCAAACAAACATGTATTAGCAGCCTCAGCCTGCCACTGAAATACAGAACTATGTTACTTTTAGCCTGTACTGACAAATCAGTTTTGACAACCAAGTGACTCCAGGAGTACCCTCCAAAGAGACTTCATGGCCCATTTGTCACTGCCCTACTCTTTCCCCTCCATCCCTATGGCGGGACATAAAATTGAACCTTAAATCGCCAATTTGGCTGCAACAGATGACTTCTTTTCCCAAATCAGAGATCTTGAGATACTGTTCCATTGCGGTAAAGAAAATAAGAAAAAAAAATGCAACAATAAACATTTCTAGAAGCAATTTTCAGGAAAAAAAATCTGGTTGGTATACCAGAGACATTCTGTGGGGGCAGAGTGGGGAATGGGATCAAAAACGGGGGGAGGGGAAGGGAGGGAAATGCATGGGACTAGGGTGGTGGCACAGGGGTGATCTGGTGATGGGAAACCCGCAGGGATTACAATCGAGATGGAAAAAAAAAATGTGCAAAATGATGTAAAAATAAACTTTGTAATTTAAAAAAAAAATCTGGTTGGTAAACTGTAAGTTAATTTTTTAATATATAAACATAGTCCGCATTCACCTAAGAAAGTATTACAAACTTCCCAAAAGCGACTTTCAATAGAAGATTTAGCCAATAGTAGATATTTAGGAAGACTAAAAACTGAACTGTAGCTATTATGAATAACATCATCTCTCACCAAAAATGAGTGTGCCAAGAATCAGAGGCAGGCCCTCCCTGGTGGCTCAGCGGGTTAAAGCTCAGCACTAAGAAGCTTAAGCCACTTCAGCATGAGTTCGATCCCCGCCTGCCCCGGAGGTGACCACATGGCGCAGCAGACCTCTCCTGACCCACTCTGCTGCTCGCCTCAGCAGTGTACTTCATCCATCTGCCTGTTCTGCTCCCTATTCTGTCTCTGGTGAATCCTCTCACCCTCCACATCTCTGGCCTGTACCCCAGTTCTGTATGAATAAATAAATAAATCTTTAAAAAAAAAA